TAATTTGATTGTCCCTTCCGGCGTTGGAGGGTTAAGCACTCTAATGTTTTAAGTTTTGGTTCTGCCTTCCGAAACACTGCACTATTAGTACGTTATGTCGCAGCTGGATGCAACCTCGTTGCCGTCGTCCACCAACGCGGGCTCTGGCGCTGCGTCGACACGGCGCTGGACACGTTTCGAGCGACGCACGGCCGCTTGCGTGTGCCCAACGACACCGACACCGATCCGACGCTATCGCATGTTTCGCGCAGTTGCAAGAGCATGAACACGTCGAGGTCGATACAATGGAGCGCATGACGGCGGCGCTGGCCGTCTACAGACGCATATCGGGGCTCGCGCTGACTCCTGGACGGTTCGCGTGCCTGTGGACCATGCCGGGTGGTCCGTGCCACTAGGCGCCCTTCTTGCAGCCGTGCAACCACCTCTGCCAAACGTGGTTGTCGGTCGGGCCGTTTGATTTTCGCATCAGAATTAGAACCTCATGGGCTCGGCCTCCGCCATTCCAAGCACTTTGCCGGGACCGCAGATCGGTCACGACGTTGAAGCGTCTCTCTGCGTTTGCCGTCGGCGAAGTAGACATGCGTCGTTATCTCGTTCGCCGTGCGTTCTCGCGACAATGCTCCTCCATGCAGGAAGCGCACGAGGCGGACAGCGCCGCCGACTCCACGGCTGGGCATCCGAGAGGCCACGTCATCCGGATACGGGTGCCCACTTGGGTGCAATTAGCCTGGACCCAATTTGGGGATTCGACGACGACTGGTGCAAGCAGCATGGACGCCCGCTCGGCCAAGTTCCCGCTCAACAGGCAGCTCGAGGCGCTGGCGGTCTACCGCAAGATCTACGGCGATCTCGGCGTGGGCGACGACTACGTCGTTCCATCGACGTCGCGCGACTGGCCGGCCGACATGCTTGGCGTCGACCTCGGCAACCGGGCCCGGCAGCTGCGCCAAGCCAAGGTCAAGTTTGAAGCTGAGATCGAAAAGAAGCTCAATGATATGGGCTTTCTCTGGAACCGGTCGCGCCACTACGCGCGTTTCTCTAAGCTCGAGCTACCGGCAGGCTGGATTGTCGTCGGCCGCCCATGGCACAACATCTTGGACGGCCTCGCGACCTACCATCGACTCGTGGGCCACTGCCGCGTGCCAGGCTCCTTCGTCGTGCCGTCCGACGACAACACATGGCCCGTCCTGTCGTGGGGGCTCGTGCTCGCCGAATGCGTCAAGCTCCTAGAGGTCCACATGTACCAGCTGACGCCGCAAGAGTATAGTAAGGCCCGATCCCTCGGCTTGCTCGAGCACCTTCCCATGTGGTTCGAGGTCGTCGAGCTCTTCGACTTGTACGACGATCTCCACGGCAACGTCGACATCCCCATCGACTTTGACGTGCCGCCACTGCAACCATGGCCGTCGCAGTGGCACGGCCTGCGCCTCGGCGAGCTCGCGTGGAAGCTGTGGATCTACGAAAGCCTGCTACCGTCTTCGAAGCGACACGACCTCGATGTTCTTGGCTTCAACTTCAACACGACGACAACGTGGGCGCGGACGCTGCAGGCGGTGCGTGTCTTCCTCGAGCTCTTCCAGCATCTCTCGATCCCGCTCTCGTACGTTGTGCCGGCGCAGGACGCTTCGTGGCCGACCGAGCTCTGGGGCATGC